GTCTAGTAATGGTGAATTCGGCGTATGCGATACCTCTGGATGGACTGTAAGTGGATGTCTGTCATATTTTGCCCGATGGCATATAGTACACGCCTTTACAACTTCTCGAATCGATCGGCGCACGTGGTGCCAATAATATCTGCGCCGTAATGCCGCAAGAGTTTCCGAAACCCCGCGGTGATTAGTCTTTCCTTCGTGATAGGCTTTAACTAACTCATTTTGGCGCTCTGGCTCTTTAACCGTTTCTACCATTTTTGCACATAGAATGAGATTCCTATCGGCCCCTATACGTTCCGTTTCCCGCAAATGCTTAATACGATTCAAAACCGTCTTATCCCCCACATACAAATGGTATGTTTTGCCCTGTTTCGTAATTTCATTAAGGATACATACAATGTCCGCCGATGAAACCGAGGGGACAGTCCATACGGTGACGATACTATGCCGGCCGTATTTTGCATGGTCCGTTCGTAATGCTCCTTCCGTACGCGTTTTCCAAATAATCTGCCGTGTATGTTGGTTGACTATCATATCCGTCTCATCGACTTGGGTATGATGTGTTTCCGTTGGGCTCTCGTCGGCATCCATTGTGTCTTCCTCGTCGAGAGACGTGTTGTCTCCGACAGTATCCGCAGAGGGTCCTGCCTCCTGCAATGAATTTACGTATAAAGCTCTCGACAACCAGTCTGCTACGACATTTTTAGTTCCCTTGTGGTATAGAACTTGGAAATTGTACGTACGTAATTTTTCCTTCCAGCGCCCAACTCGAGCTGACGATTCCTTCAGTCCGTCCGTCCATAAAAGCGGCTTATGATCTGTACGTGGCGTAAACCGTCTCCCGAATACATACGGTCGAAAATGACCCACCGCCCAAACGATCGCCACTAATTCACTCACGTTCCAGCGCGCCTTGATTCCGCATCGGATAGCTGTCTACTTGCAAATGCTATAGGCTTGTCTCCCGCATTCGATTCCTGAGATAATGCAGCTCCGAGCGCCCGTTCGCTTGCATCCGTTGTCAACGTAAAAGTACAGAAAAAATCCGGGAATGCCAAAACCGGTTCCGCTGTAAGAGCCTCCTTGCATTTCTGAAAACTATTTGTATGTTCCTCAGTAAAAAGAAAAGACCGCCCTTTCTTTAGAAGCTGAGTGAGTGGTGAAATAATATCTGCTGCATTTGGTAAAAATTTACGGTAGTAATTAACCATCCCTAAGAAACTTTTGAGTTCCTTCTGGTTGGCAGGAGGTTTTACTCGAGTAATGGCTTCGATTCTAGCTGGATCTGGTCTAACTCCTCGTTCAGAAATCAAATGTCCAAGAAATTTTATCTCCGTTTCGAAAAAATGGGATTTCTCTTTTGATAACCGTAGGCCAAACTCACGAATTCGTTGGAATACTAATAATCCTGACAATAATAATGACAATAATCCTCTCCCAACCCACGTAGAAATTCATCCATCAGCCTCTAAAACGTGAGAGGCGCATTTTTGAGCCCAAACGGCATTCGTATGAAGTCATAATGCCCTCTACCGAACGTGAAAGCTGTTTTTTCTATATCGCCTTCTCGCATCCTCACTTGGTGATATCCGGATTTTAAATCAAGCGTAGAAAAAATTCGTGCACCAGCTAACCGATCTAACATAAGTCTCGGGAGGGAGTAACGTTCCTCTACCGTATTTTCGCTAAGCTTCCTATAATCGATCACGAGACGATATGAGGGATCTGCTTGCTGACTTAATTTTTTTTTTCGGCGATCCACAGGGGGCTACTAAACGGTGAGGTACTGTGTCTTATAATCCCTTGACGAAGAAGGTCATTTATTTGATTTTTAATTATTCCTGTCATAGACTGGGGGTATCTTCGGCCCTTCGTGTATGAAATTTTATTTTCTTTTAAAATTATTTCATGTTCCGTTCTCTCAGTGGCAGGTAATGCATAACCCTCTTTATAAAATATATCGGTAAATTCTGAAAGTAACGCCTCGACCCTTGACTCCCCATTCTCAATCACCTCTATGTGATGTTCCTTACCGCTCGCTCTCAATTTTCAGCGATACATTTTTGTTCCCTGGGCCAGCTCCCAACTCTCATGACTACTTTCCATCTTATAGCCCACTTTGTCTAAGACATCACACCCTATTAGCACATCATACTGATCAGTTAACGATTCTAATACGTGCACGACCGTGCTCACCTTTACTCCCGTAAGATTCTCCAAGTCCCACGTGCACTCTCCCAGTACTCTACAAGGGCCGCTCAAAGTGACGACAGAGCATTTACATACCTTGATCTCTTCATTCGGCCCCCTAAACATTCCTCTGCTAATCAAGGTACTTGTGCTTCCCGTGTTGATTAGCGCTCTCATCTTATTGCCAAACCCCTGCACTATGGGCAACCTCTCCCACACTCCACATACACCATTTACCAGCTCTCGCTTGCATGGGTTGCCCTCGACTCTTCAGATAGTGGTTTCCTTCCTCGCGTCTGCTTTTTTGGAGTTGTGTGATCTTTTCCTCTGCTCACCCGCGCTTCAGTTTATTTTCACCCAGGAAGTACGGGATTGGATTTTATGATTGGGGGAGATCCGATAAGGATAGATTTAGTCTTCTCAGCGTTTAGGGTGAGCCTGTTGTGGTTTGCCCAAGCACAAATTCTGTCCATATCTTCCTGAATTTGTGGGATTACTGCAGTGGAATCAGCTGGATCGAAGGAAAGGTAAATTTGGACGTCATCGTCATAAAGGTGGTATTGACAGTGCAGGATAGAGGACGGAAGGTCATTGATATAAATGGAAAAAAGGGTGGGAGATAAAGAGGACCCCTGGGGAACGCCTCTGGTCAAGGATAGAGACTCTGATGGGGGATTATTAGGGACTACAACGTACTGGGAGCGACCGGTGAGGAAGGATTGGAACCATTTAAGGACACTAGAAGACAAGGATATATTGAAGTTTGGTAAGGAGTATACTGTGGTCTACTGAGTCAAAGGCTTTGCAAAAATCAAGGATAATAGATTTAAAATAATAAAAGATAAAATAATAATAAATAAAAATAATAGATTTTACTGATGTCATGAGTTTATCCTATCTCATTCCATAGTACGGCGACAAGTCGTTGGGAGATGATTTCCAAGATTCTTGGTAATTTTTAAAAGAGGTGGTATAATGAATACCTTCATCATCTGGTGCCTCGCAACATGTGGTATACTGATAGGGAAAATTTAAAGGAGGGAAACCTTGTAATTCTGCATGAAAAAGATGTTACACTGCAGGAGTGCCGGCTTGCCAGGATAATAGAGACACTTCCAGGGCCCGACAGTGTAGTTAGGGTTGTAAAATTGAGGACTGCTACAGCCACTTTAGTGCAACCGGTGCACAAGTTTGTGCCTCTCCCTTCTGGAGAAACCTTTTATTGATATGTATGTTTTTTTTGTTTAAATTTAATGAGGAATCATTTTATTTTACGTTAATTGTAAATTATTAGCCTAATTTCTCTCTTTATTGTAAACCAAGCAATTTTTCTCTCGTTTGTGCCTTGCCCAGTAATCACCAATCTCTGAGTTTGTTTTTATCTTTTTCTTGTTTGTGAAATGAGATATTTCACGATGGGGGATATGGTTGTGCCAAAGAGAGGTTTTTGTTTAAATGCCCTGCATTACGGCGAGTAGTGGGTCAGATCTAAAAGATAAAGATAAGACTTAAGCTTTGAGAGAGACTCAAAGCCTCGAGGCCACTACCTAACCAGCATTAAACCAGCAAGGACCGACGAGGGAGGGCCCTCCGAGGTAAAAAAGATGTAGGCTGGTACATAAACGGTAAGCTATTTTTTTGCACTATCATTGACCTACCAATCCCTTAAGATACAGTCCATTCCTTAATAACTAGAATGTTGCCTTATTGAGACTCATGAGAGTTATTTTTCCTTAATTGTAAAAGTTGCCTAAACAGCTTTCTATGCCACACCACTTTTTTTATGTCATAGGTATGCATAGGGAGAAGATCAAGTTCTCCATCAACCTTCAACGCATATCGTTCTGACTCATCGGTGTCCTTAAGCTTGCTGGTGTTAAGTTTTTTACTTCTTTGGCCCCTTGTTTTTTACATTGGAGATTCGTGATCTTATTTTTGCTATGCCGAGATATTTATCAGATTTGTTTAATCAACATTTGCTCCTCTGTATGTTCTTACATCAAGGAGCTCTGGCTTATGCCGGGCACTTATCAAACGATGGTCTATCTGATTAACAGTGAGTCTATTAGGTGATCGCCATGTACCCTTTTGTATATTTTTTTGAGGGAAGAGGGTGCTGCCAACAATGAGGTTCCGTGATTCACAGAAATTGATCAGACGATCTTCTTTCTCTTCTGACTTTAGTATTAAAGTCAACTACTGGCACAATAATATTAAACATCAAATAGCCAAATTGATGGAGATGAAAAAAATTAAAAACAAGTCAAGAAAATATAAAAAAATTATACCTAAAAGTATTATTTGTAACCTGTACTTTTTTTTTATTTTTTGTTTTACAGGCCTTCAAGACCACTTAAACATTATTTTATATAGCCCTTCACCAAAAGATCATTAAATCCTGAATCTCTGCTATGCTGGATACCCTGAAATCTGTACCGTCCATGCGCTTGGAATGGGAAAACCGTACTGCACATGTGGCTGAAAGTTTGCTGATAGTCATAACTCATTTTGGAACAAACCATTAACCAATTTGAAGTTGATCAAAAATTCAGAATCTATTTCTTTTTTTTAATTTGTTATTTATTCTTAAGCACCGACATTAGTTAGAATTTTTAAAATCCTTCACTAGTGTTGTTTTTATGATTTTCCTGTGTTAATTAGTAACTCAACACAGTTAGCCAGATTTATTGCAATTTTATTTTAATAATTTCTTTATTTAGAATATATTTTAAAATTCAAAATAAAAAAAATAATTATTATAATTATATTAAAATTATTTAAATTAATTTTTCATTAGATTATTATATTTTTAGGATATGTATACTCACTTGAGAGCTTCAGGTTATTATATTGAAGTATTGGGAGTTCCATTTACTTGTTTTGATGCTTCTCAGTATGGTACTCTTTTAATTGTTGATCCTGAAGAAGAATTTTTTCCTGAGGAAATTGCGAAACTAAAAAGAGATGTTGACTCTGGTTTATCATTGATTGTTTTTGCTGATTGGTATAATGTGACTGTTATGAAAAAAGTAAAATTCTTTGATGAAAACACAAGGTTAATTTTTTTACATTATTTCATACTTGATACATATTGATATTTTAGAAAATTGTTCCTAAAATGATATTATGCTGAAAAAAAAATCCATATAAATTTTTATTAGGGAGCAAGTTCAATGTAATTTCTACTGTTTTCTTTTTCTTACAAATTTAAAATATTTCAGTTTTTGTTATTAATTGTGAAACCCAATTAATTGCTTCATTGCCTTATACTAATTTTATGTGAAAACCACACTTTTCCAATATTTAGATAAAACTATGCACATGCCAGATGTGGTTTTTATGTTTGTTCATAATTGTTATTCATTATTACTAAAAGGGACCTCATCCCAGAATAAAGTTTATTTTCTATTCTATTCTACATAAAACAAAATAATTGCTGAAGTTTATCTTCAATAAAAAATAAGTCAATACTTATCTTGTTTTGATTAAATAACATACTAAGCAACAGGTACCTCATTAAGAGATGCAGTTGAAGGTATCAACATTACAAAAAAAAAAATGTTAAGACTGATCATTTGGTATAAACTATTCTTGCAGGTTTTAGACTAATCATTTGGTATAAACTATTCTAGCAGGTACATAGCGCATAGTAATTAAGATAAAGAAGAGAAGAATAGTTCGGGTGGTCAGTCAAAAAAGAAGGCAAAAATAAATGATAATATTTATTTTTACATATGCCGACTTTTCGACCTGAAGTTCAGGCCTTTATCAGGGCTAAGAAAGTAACCAGATAACAAGGTATGAGAAACATAAGTAGTGATGGTAAAAAAAAAAAATAAAAAAAATAAAATATAAAATAAAATAAATAAATATAAAGTAAAATGAAATTGTTAAAATAATGACTAAGAACTAAGAGATAAATAATAATAACCGTTACAAAGTGTGGAATGATGAAGTGGGCATAATCAAAAAGGGTGACATAAGTGTTACAATGGGAATCTTAGAATAAAATGTAAAACATAAAACAGAAAGAGCCAAACTTAACTCACTACTTATGTTTCTCATACCTTGTTATCTGGTTATTTTCTTAGCCCTGATGAAGGCCTGAACTTCAGGTCGAAACGTCGGCATATGTAAAAATAAATATTATCATTTATTTTTGCCTTCTTTTTTGACTGACCACCCCAACTATTCTTCTCTTCATTATCCACGACAGTCAACCATTTACCAATTATAATTAAGATAAAGCATTTTGAACTAATTGATTTTGGTTTTTACATTAATTTGGGGGAAATCAAGTGATAAAATGGGAGTAGTATAATTTTCCTTAACTATAAGTTGACATTTAAAGTTTTCCAAAATAGACAGGACGGTCTTGCACAGATATTCAATGATATACAGGTTAACTGTATGGTGCATAAGTTAAATAAAAATGTATTCCCTTCTATAAGGGTCACTGTAAGAAGAAAATGATTTTATTTATTAACTAAACTAAATATACTGCTTTATTTTTAATTTTAAGTATTTTTAATAGCATGTAAACAGGATTTAATTAAATCACTTTTCTTCTTCTTTTGCATCACCCTGTAGTGCCTTTCAGCGTAGGGGAGCGTCTAACCAGGATTGCCAATTTTCCCTGTTTCTTGCAAGATTTCTGACTTGGCGTATATTTTTATTTCTATTTTTGCACAGGCGGTCTACGTATTCGAGGTACGACATTCTCGGTCTGCCGCTGGGTCTTCTGCCATTGGGGACGTAGTCCATAGACTTTAATGGATCTCTGTGTTCTTCCATCCTAATGACATGCCCAAACCACTTAAGCTGGCGAGTCTTTAGGACATCCTTCATCAGGGGAACCCCCAATTCCTCCCTGATTCTCTCATTGCGAATGCAGTCCCGTCTCATTTTCCCTGCGGTCCTTCGGGGAAACCTCATTTCTGCAGCAGTGATTTTTCTCTCAAGTTTGTCAGTCAGCACCCAGCTTTCTGCACCATACAGGAGTATAGGCAAGTATACTGCCTTAAATATGTGCAGTTTTACACTTCTGCTCACTTCTCTCTTTCCTATCACAGTATTGGTAATATATAGCGTTTGCTTTGCTTATCCTGTGCAGAATTTCCCAGACTGATCCATAACAGAACCAAGGTAGGTGAAATCTGACACAACTTCCATCACCTCTCTGTTGCAATACACTGTAACATCTTGCTGCACCCTTCCAACCTGTAGGATCTTTCTCTCTCTTGTACTGATGACCATACCCTTCCTGAGGAGCTCCTCGTTCCATTCGTCAACTGCCTGCTGTAATTTCTCCACAGAATCAGCAATCAGGACAATATCGTCCGCATATAGAAGAAACTGAAATACAACCGGAAGCAGATTCCTTCGCCCCAGAAACGTCCTTTCTGTTCGCCTTTTGCATATTGCAGCAATTTCATCCATATATAATATAAATAACAACGGGCTTAAACTATCACCTTGTTTGACCCCCTAGCTATGCTAAAATAGCCAGATTCCTGTCCATTCAGTCTGACTATTCCTTTTGGATTTTGGTATATGGATTTAATGGCCTCAACCAGGCTTCTAGGAACATTTTTTACTCTTAGTGTTTCCCATATTTTGTTTCTTGGGACTGAATCAAATGCTGCCTGAAGGTCGAGGAAGGCTAAGTACAGATTTTTATCATTATCCCATGATTTTTGCATTATATTCCTGAGGGTGAATATATGATCCTGTGTCTGACACCCTGGTCTGAAACCAGCTTGCTCTTCTCCTACGAACGGTTCCACTAGAGGTCTCAGTCTATTGTGCAGGATGGATGTATATAACTTGTATACCACTGGAGACAGGCATATGGGTCTGTAGTTGGAGCATTCAGCCTGGCTGCCTTTTTTATGTATGGGAATTATGACATTATATTCCCATTCTGTAGGAATCCTTTTGCTGTCCCAGGCTTTTTGAAAAAGTATTTGGAGAGACCTCACTAACTCCATCCCACCATACTTAACAAATTATCCCGTCCTGGAGCTTTTCCTGTTTTTATCTTTTCAATAGCTAGCTCTACCTCGTCCTCCCCTATGACCTCGTCGTAGTCAGCCTCATTCCAGTAGTCGCCTCCTGACTGTTCCCAGGATACATATGTTCGATGATAAATTGTTTTTCGTAATGTCTCCTCCATACCTCCAGGATGCTTTTGTCCTTCGAGACCATTTCTCCTTGCTCATTATTAATATTTCTTACTCCTTTGCCTGTTCGGCCTGTCAGTGCTTTGATCTTTTTCCAAAATATTTTTATGTTTTCCCCGTGATCCTGGTTCAACCTCTCTCTAAATTCTTCCCATGACCTCTTCTTTGCCGTTTTTAAGGCCTCCTTAGTCACACTCCTTGCCAATACTCCTTGCCAATAATGACTGCCATTTTTCTGTAGTTTTGACCCTGCAATAATTCCTCCAGGCTATTTTCTTTTCCTTGACCAATGCTTTTAGTTCACCGCTCCACCATGCAGTACGTTTATCTTTTGTAAGTATTCTCTTGACTCCGCAGACCAATGTAGCCGATTCCAGAATACTGTCCTTTATTTGTTTCCAAACATCCTCCAACCCAGCGTCCGCATCCAATTCCTGAAGTTTTCTCTTTACTTCATCTTCATAGCTCTGTCTTATCTGAGGGTCCTGAAGCTTTTTTACCTCTATCCTATCGTACACTTTTGGCTTTGTCTTGGGTTCCTTAAGTACCCTGGTGTCGGCTACCAGTAACATATGGTCACTACCTATCTCCGCTCCTCTAATAACCTTTACATCTGAGAAAAACCTCCTATTTGCATTTCGCTCCATAGCAGAGAAGGTAATTTTGTTCACTGGCTTGTGAGGAAAATACGAATTCCCAATAAGCATGTTGTTGTCGGCACAGAACTCGATCAGTCGCTGACCGCTTTTATTCTTTAATCTCTCGCCTCCATGCGGACCCATCAAACCATGTGCTCTCGCATAGTCATTGCCTGTTCGTGCGTTGAGGTCTCCCATTATGAGAATACTCCTATTAATATTTTTGTTTTTTATCACCAAACGTTCTAGCTCTGCATAGAACTGTTCTTTATCTAGTATGCTTGCATCGTTTGTCGGAGCGTACACCTGTATTAGGGTCCATTTTCCTATGCCCAGATTAATATTAACTGCTAGGATGCGCGAGTTCACTGGCTCCCATTCCTCCACTCTTCTGAACAGCTCATCCTTCATTATAATGCCGACTCCCTCTGCAGCCCTATTTCCTGGAGGGACTCCCGAATATATCAACCTGTGACCACCGTCCATCGCCATAACTCCAGCCTCCTTTCTTCGCACCTTACTGATTCCTAGTATATCCAGCCTGTAGGTCTTCATCTCATCGATGATTTCTACCTCTTTGCCTGTAAGAGATTTAATATTCCAAGTTCCTAATTGTATGTCCTTTTCCATGCCTTGTGGTTTCCTTCTAATCTGTCCAAATCCGAGGCTATTCGCTATGTTTCTTTGAATCGTTTATTACGTTCTTACGGGTGATTGGCCCAGTAAGAACACTGGTGGTGGTTAGCTATACCCCCAACCTTGGGTTTTCTCAGGGAAGATGGCCCTGATGTGAGTACTGTAAATGACCTTATGTAATGAATAAGTCTATAGTGTACTGTTCTGAGTGAGAAAGTACCGTGTACTGAACTCGGGACCCGGGGGAGTGTTAAACCCCACTAGTCTGGTACTTAGACTAGCCCCTGCGTTATAATTAATTAAATCACAGAATTATTTATTACCTCTTTTTGGATTTACCCTTTGGTCGGTGAACAAATGGTATATTATTTGAAAAGTGTAACTTTTATAATTTAACTGGTAATTTTTGCTTAATGTCCATAATTTATCTTCAACTCTCTTAACTCCTCCACTCCTCTCTTAACTGTTCTTTACTTTAAATACAGGACATCCTACCAAAAAAAAAAGAATAATCCTTGGGAGTTTTATAGGTAATGTAAGGCTGAAAAAAAATTCTTATGATCATGGATCAACAAATAAAGTTGTAACCAGTTTCAAGA